TCAGAAGTACATCCCTGCTTTTATATTCTCGTCGTCTCAAAATAAATGTCAACATTGCATTTGCCTTCCTAACTATCAACTCGACTTGCAAATTAAGTTTAAGGGAATCCTGGACTAGGACTCCCAAGTTGCTTTGCACTTTAGATTTCTAAATTTTCTCCCCATTTAGAAAATAGTCTATGTCTCTATTCTTGATGCATGACCTCACACTTTCCCACGTTGTATTCCATCTGCCACTTCTTTACTCATTCTCTTAACCTGTCTAAATCCTTCTGCAGCCTCCCTGCCTCCTCAGTACTACCTGTCTTTGTATCATCTGTAAACTTAGCTAGAATGCCCTCAGTTCCTTCTTCCAGATCATTCATGCATAAAGTGAAAAGTTGTGGTCCCATTACTGATCCTTGCGGAACTCCAGTAGTCACCAGCTGCCATCCTGACAAGGACCCTTTTATCCCCACTCTCTGCTTTCTGCCTGACAACCAATCTTCTATCCATGCTAGCACCTTGCCTCTAACACTTATCTTACACAACAGCCTCCTGTGCGGCACCTTGTAAAAGGCCTTCTGGAAGTCCAAGTAGATACCATCTATTGGCTCTTCTTTGTCTAACCTGCTTGTTACTTCCACAAATAATTCCAACAGGTTTGTCAGGCATGACCTCCCCTTGACAAAACCATGCTGACTTCACCCTGTTTTACCATGCACTTCCAAGTATTTAGAAATCTCATCCTTCACAATGGACTCCAAAATTTTAGCAACGACCAAGGTCAGGCGAATCGGCCGATAATTTCCTGTCTTTTATTGCACTCCCTTTTTAAACAGAGGGGTTACTTTTGCGATTTTCCAAGTCCTCTGGGACCCCCCCTGACTCCAGCGATTCCAGAAAGATCAGCACTACCACTTTCACTTTCTCTTCAGCCATCTCCTTTAGAACTGTGGGGTGTAGTCCATCTGTTCCAGGTGATTATCCACCTTTAGTCCTTTTAGTTTTTCTAGCACCTTCTCCTTGGTGGTGGCCACCATATTCACCTCTGCGACCACCCCCCAACCCCCCCTCCAATGACTGTCTTGAATTTTTGGGATGTTACTCAAGTCCGCCACCATGAAGACTGTTGCAAAGTACTTATTCAGTTCCTCTGCAATTTCTTTGTTCCCCATTACTACTTCTCCAGCGTCATTTTCCAATTGCCCAATGTCTACCTTGGCCCCTCTGTTACCCTTTATATATCTAAAGAAACCCTTGCAGTCTTCTTTTCTATTACTGGCTAGTTTAGCCTCATATTTAATCTTCTCCCTCCTTATTTCTTTTTTCGTTGTCCTCTGTCTTTGTAAGCTTCCCGATCCCCTGGCTTCCCACTGCCCTTCACCGCATTTTATGCTTTCTCTTTTGCTTTTATGCTGTCCCTGACTTCCCTAGTCAGCCATGGTTGCATCATCCACCCTTTAGTATGTTTCTTTTTCTTCGGGTTGAATTTTGCTGCGTCTCCTGAATTACTCTCAGAAACTCCTGACATTGCTGTTCCACTGTCTTTTCTGCCAGGCTCCTGTCCCAGTCAATTCTGGCCAGCTCCTCCCTGATTTCTCTGTAGTTGCTTCTGTATGATCTCTGTAGAGACGAATAATTTTTTTTAATGAACTTGAACTTCCAATTAAACATGTCAATGTTTCTCATTTCAAAACTTTTCCTGTAATGAATGATTGAAGCACTTTTGACTAAATATTGAAATAAAAACAAACCACTGAAGAAAATCAGTAAGTTAGGTAGTACATGCACAGAAAGAAGCAGGGTTAGTGTTTAGAGTCCAAATTACTCTTTGGATTAGTTCTAAATTAGAGTCATATTGGATTCAAAAAGATCACTTTGTTTCTCCCTCCATTGATGCTGAGTTTGTCCAGCATTTTCTGTCTTTATTTGTGACTAGACACTGTTTTCTTTGTGGAGTCAACTATACCTGAGCTTTAGAGAGGGCCATTCTCCTTTATACTTGGAACTGATCAGACTGTCCACAGGATCACAGTCTTTATAGCAAACAGTCCACAGTTGCTCCCAGCTTGCACTGGGTTCCCGTTTCCATTCTTTTATTATCTTTTATGGTAAATATCTTGCATCTTCTCAGTAAAATAACCAAGTTGTCTTTTGATCTCTAACAATCAATCAGTCCCAGCTTACTATGGGATAGAATGCAGAACACATTACATAACCTTACTTCATTCACTCGAAGTTTCAAGTTACAGCCCCAAAATACACTTACAACCTCATTTGTATCAAGATGCGTAAAGACGATGGATTGAAGGGGAGCAAAACTGTTAATCCAGATTAGTTTTGGTGAATGACTTTGTCCTGTGCTGTATATTTGCATGCGATTCTATGTGATTCTCCTTTTCGATTGTCACAATTAGTCACCAATAATCCCAAATGCAAATTCAGCGGTAAACTATAACATTGGATTAGACAGCATTATTTATCATGTAGAATCTACTGTTGTAACTTTCTCATTGTGAGGACAGTATTTATACCATTTGTATTGAGGAGAGATAAATTATGAGGCCTGAAGTGAATATTATTAACTTCATTCCAGTAAACTGATCCTCTCAATTTTTCAATTAACAACAAATGAGGCAGCATGGATAGAAGTGAGCTTGTTATTTTCTCTACACTTTGTGAGACTGCATCATTTTAATTTCCTGTCTGCTCAGCCTCCCTTTGTTTGTTGTTTCAAGAAATGTATAACATTTAACTTCTCCAATAGTAGTGCAATGTAATGGCTTTGTAATTTCTCTATAATATTTGTTCATCCTCAGTGATAGTACTCATATGCAAAATGAATGCTCTTACTGTAAATGTTCCTATTTTCTGATTTTTTTTATCCTCTATTTTCATTTGACCTGTACATTTTTTTTTCATTGTGGCATAAATATTTGTGTCAATATTCCATGTAATTTCCCATTTATTTTCATTCCAATTCACTCCTTTCTGTCTGCTCCTTTTTGTCTGTCCCATACATTTAGGATGTTTTTCATTCTGTATGTGAAGCACTGAATTTCTTTGTTTTTGCCATCAGCAATCACTCCCGGAGAATGACTGTCCATGTAGAAAATTGCATGTCACTGGTCAAGGTCACATGGTTGATGAGCCCAATCCTGAGCTGGTACTTTGACTAGACTCTGGGCAGGTGCTTCTGGGACATGAAATTAGTTCTTGACCTTGAAATCACTGCATTCCTTTCTCCGGTTCCTTTTCCGATATTTCCGATTGCCAACGGGTGCTTACAAAGAATTGTACCTCTTCATGTGGAAGCTTACTCCAAGTCAGTTTCTGCTGAATTAGGGTCTCCCGTGTGCTGATGTTACGTTTCTTGAGGGAAGCCTTCTTTTGTCCCCCTCTTGCCTTTGGAATGCCTTCCTTGAGCTGGGTGAAGAAGATTTGCTTTGGCCATCAGAACTCAGGCATCCTAACCACTTAGTTGGTCCAACAGATGATTATGGCATCAACGTTGGTGTGATTGGCTGTATCAAGGATGCTGATGTTAGTACATCTGTCCTCCCAGCTGATGCAGAAGAGGATTTCCCTGCTGATCTTAATGGAGGAATCGACTCAGGACATTTCCTGTCCTCTAAGTGAAGTACTCAATTTCTTTGTCCTACTCTCCGAGTCACAGACCATGTTGATACTTTTCATTGCAGAGCGTTAAACATCAAAATAAATTGCTGTAAAGATGCTATATCAATTTCTGTAATGTAATTTATACGTTCATTAGTCTGAGAACCTGTTGCCCTACAGTCTAACAGTTCAACTTCACTCATGATATAATTCTGCAATAATTTCTTTGTGCCTAACAGTCAAAATCGAAGAGACAAATCCTACAATCCTAAATGCATGAACCAACCTAGGATAAATTACCTCGGGCAAAGTTCTTTTCCTTGTGTTGAAATCTCTCTCTGACTTATCCCTCCCTATATCTCCATTATCCTTTAGCCCTACAATCCACTGGAAATAGTATGATTCTCTAATCCCAAACTTTTGTTGATCTTTTACTTTCTTTGCTCCACTGTTGGCACCTATGTTCACCTGCACAGGGATTTCCTTTCTAAAGTTCTCTGCTTTTCCATGCTTTAAGGCAGTCCTTAAAAAAGGAAATGGTGGCAGTAGGCAGCTTATGGGCTTCTGTGCCAGGGCTTGTGCTTTTTGTCTGCATTTTTTATTTCCTTCTTCCCCTTCTTTTTTTCTCAAACTTGCCTGATAAAGAGAGCTCTTCGGCAGGAGGTGGCTTTGATGGGCCCCGTAGCCGCAGCGGCATCTTCAGAGTCAGCGCGGCTACAGTGTTGGTCTGTCGGCCTGTGAAGCCTGGAGCAGGACACTCGCTTCCACATGGCTTCTGGCGATGGCATGGCATGGGCTGGGAAGCCTGGAGTGGGATTCTGGCAGGAGCATGGCATAGGCTGGGGAGCCTGGAACGGGAGTCTGGCAGCGGCATCCAATAGCAGCAGAGAAGGAAAAATTGGAATCACTTTAAGTATCTTTATTTTTATCTTATTCTAAGTTAAAGTGAATGGTGTCTATGTATGGTGACAGTACGCTTCATTGTATTTTATATTGAATGCACATGACAATAAATGGATATTCTGTATCTTTGACCAAGCTTTTGTCATCCATCCTCTTCTCTCCTTTGGTTTGGTGTCAATTTTTGTCTGAATAATCCCTTGCTATGTTTTAGTTTGTTAAAGATGCTATATAAATGCAAATTGCTTTTGTTTTCTTGTTAGTAGTTGATACACAGGAATTCCACGACATTCAATGTCAGTTTGCAAGACAGATGATATAAGGAACACTTTTCTAATCAGTCAGCTATTAGACATATTTATTCATGAATAGAATTATTCAGAGAAGTGAGCAGTGAAATTGAGATAATTGAATTTGTCCCAAAAAACTGCAGTCTTGATCCAGTCTATGAAGCTGTGAGATCTTCACTAAATCTCATTGATAAAGACAAATGTGTTTAAGAGACAGAATTGGGTGACTATGTACCAGTGAAATCCAACATTTGCAAAAATTAAACAGACAATATGATTACTGAGTTGCTTTTTGTCTCCATGCCTCATGACCATATAAAACCAAAAAGAGTGTAACAGTTAGCAGTTCTATGACATTTATGTTCAAGGCTCCCTTTTCTTCTTCTGTCAGTGAGTCCATCTGGATGTGATTTACAAAGGAAAAGAAACACTATTACACAACAGTCCAACAGGTTAACAAGCTTACAGCAGATATCAGTCATTCAGATGATAATGAGAAAGTGTTTTAATGGGACATTGCCACTTCACAGAATAGCAATTAAGTATTACCATATTTAACATTCGATGTCCCTTTAAAGGTTGCTTCAGAATTGAGCCTTCGTAACCAGTTTGAGTGATTTTTGAATGAAAGTTTAATCTAATCTTTAATGTGGCATTTTAAAAGACTGGGCCCTCTCTGATCAGCCATAATGGGACAGTTCTGTTCATATATTTATACTTCTGACCTAACATTTTCATGCTGCTGGCTTTACAAAGAATTTGCAGTTCAGAAACTGACCAACCAGATCAGTAGGTCTATGCCTATGTTGATACTTCACCTGAACATCCTCCCATGCTACTTCATCTAATGCTTAATGGAATCTCTTTTCCTTTCTAACCTCAATGGAAGCTGTGTTGTTCTCAATCTCACCCCTCATTTGAGGCATGGTGATCCTCAGATTAAGCTCATCACCGGTCATGTTGTATTTCATGGGATATGAGCATCATTGGCTGGACCAGAATTTGTTATCCATCTCTACTTGCCACTTGAATTGAGTGGCTTGCCAGGGTCATTTCAGAGGACAGTTATGAGTCATCCATATTATTGTGAATCTGGTGTGATACATAGACCAAACCAGATAAGGGTGGCAGATTTCCTTTCCTAAATGAGACTAGTGAACCAGATGGGTCATTTCAATAATCAACAATGGATACATGGTCACCCTGTGGCAAGTTTCATTGTTCTAGATTTTCAATTGTTAAAATTTCACCATCTGCCATGATGGAAGTCAAACCAAAATCACCAGAGCATTCGCCTGGGTCACTGGATCACTAGTTCAGCAACACTACTACAATGCCACCATCTCCCTCAGGCAGAGTGTATATTTTCCTATATTTAGAGAGGATGGAGTCAGGAAGCTTCCTGAGCAACAGCTTATCCAGCATAGGGAGTTTGGAATGCCATATAACATGTGGTACTGTTAGAGATGATGTCTTTTAGCTAGGATATTGAACCAGGACTACATCTATCTTCTTAGAGTTAGCAAAGGAATGGATGAGGGTTTAGACAGTAAATGAGTCAGGGACAAGAGATAGTCATGGGAGGTTGTGCAGGAGGGAATAAGTAGCCTATGATATCACAGACTAGAGGTCATAAATTCATTTCAAGGTCTAGTATCACATCATCACAGCAAGCATTCTGACAGTTGCCATTTAGAGTGATGGGATTGGTGAAGAGGAAACTGAGTTTGTGTCAGGGTGAATACAATGTCTTTATTTGTCCTAATATTTAGTGGAAATTATTACTGCTTATCAAGCACTGGATGTCAAACAGGTGGTTTGACAATTCAGAGACGATAAATGATCCCTTGCCACTATCTTGAAGATGAGTAGAAGAGTTCTCCCTCATGTCCTAGCCAATATTTGTCCTTCAATCACCATCACTCAAGAACAAATAGCTGGCCATTATCACATTTCTGTTTCAAGCATCTTACTTTGCAGAAATTTGCTAATATTACTTACGTTGCATCTTTGTCTATACCTCAAAAAAATCTTCATTGCCTGTAACTTTTGGACATGGATCAAGAAAAGTACAATGTAAATAAGAGGTTTTCTTTTATTCCTTTTTAAAAGCCACAGCAGAATGTATTGCCAGAGGGAGATGAATAGTATCTCATCCACTTCATAACTCTGAGAGGTTGCAGCATTTCAGCTGCAGTGATGAAAGGAAACTGATTCTTGATTTGACTCAGAAAATGCAGTGAATGTACATGAGATTGCTAAAAATACGCAATAGGTCATTCAGCACCTGAGAAAATGGAAACTGGTTCATTGGGTATTTTGGATGCGATCTGCTGTAATTTTTGAGCATTTTCTGTTGTTGCAGATTTCTAACAAACTTTTTTGTTGTTTTTTATCATTTGTATTCCATGATTTTCCCCAGTTCTGACTTGTAACTTTTGTACTGAAGATTCTCATACCGCCAGGATTGTCCAGCATGCCTGAAAGAAATTAACAGAGAAACTAAAAGTTCAAAAAGAAATTGCTCCAAGCATAGTGGCAGAAATTGAATTTGCCACTCTCTTATTCCATCCGTTTTGAATGAATAACAACTCATTTTTAAATCAAGAACAAGTCAACATTTCAAACACTAAGGAGTTGCATTGGCAGTGGCTTTCCTCTAATTGGCACTCATTTCATATCCAGTATTTGCTTTGTTTCATGCGTTTGGAACTCGCTTTCAAACATGCTCTTAACAAAGAAATGCGAGCCCAATATTTTTGCTGTGTCATCCACGTTCTGTCTTGACCTACTTTAAAATTCTTAAGTTTTGCACTCACTTTGTCTCATATAGGTATCACCACCTCAACAGTATTGTTGTGAAGAATCTTGGATGTCTTTAAAGGATGCTTGTGAGCTCTATTTTGCAGCCAACAGTAATAGCAGGCTATCGAAATGGAGAACTGTAATAATGAGTTACAATGTTACTGAACATCAGTTATGTCTGGTTTTCAGCAACAAGTCCATATTAGGATATTAATGGGGTCATAATTGTTCTCTCGTAACTGAAGCTGGTCTGCTTCAATGACTGATATTTCCTCTATTGCATCTTCTTAAGATCTTCTGCTACATGCTTTATCTGCTTGTATCAGTCCATAGCACCAAACTGACTTCAGGGTGAATGTCTATTGTCAATAACTTAACGGCAAATCCCATCCATGTGTAGTTCCATTTTGAATTCTAAATTTAAAAGGACAAATCAGCATTAAGTTAGCATTCATCTAATACTACCTTGCAAGTTTCGTTTCCCAGTTTGTCTGCAATCCTTTCTGTGGCTGATGTTTGCACTTTCTAACATGGTCCTTTTTGAGAAAGAAATAAGCTCCAGGAAAGCCAAATTAGCTTGTTAATCTTTAATCCAAATGAACTTTGTTTTTGTTTTCCTACATTTCAAATTCAAAGAGGCAAATGGCAATGGATATAAATGTGGGTCTTGCCCAACAGCTGCAAAGCCAGTGAGACACCTACACCACATCTTCAGGAAAAGACCCAGTAAATATTCAGCCATCCAGACAGTTCTCAGGCTAATGGCAGGGCTTCAAACAGAATCAGATCCGCCAGGGTGGAAATCCATCTTGACAGGAGCTGCTGGACAACCAGAAGCCATTACTTCCTTCACTCAACATTATATACAGAAGGACGAAGGTGGATAATTTGTTGGGGTTGGGGGAAGGGTTTTCAGAGTTGGGGAAATGGAATAATGTAGGTTAGAAGCAGGAAGGAGGATTTGCTCTCACTGACACTCCCTTGTCCGATGTCCATGCTCTCATTCACACATTAACCGTCTTTGGTTGAGCACCATGCCTTTTGCCTCCAGGAAGAACACTTGGCTGCAGACACACTTGCAACTGGATTAATCCCAGGAGTGATGGCTGAGGCCCTTAAATGGTCCTTAATTGTCTGCTTCAGGCCTCAGTTAACTACAGGGCTAGAAGGTCACTAAAGGACCTTCCCACCCAGAAATTAATTCCAGTGTCGGCAGGGAGGCAGAAGGAATCGGATACGGTCCTCCTCGATCATGAAATTCGCTTCCCTACCTCTTACCTCACTTCCTCATGCACTGGAAGATATTGCCAAAGAATACAGACACAGAAACGATTCTCATGTATTCACACACAGCTGAAGGTACATAGTAATACATATGCAAGTAGATGAGCAGACATATTAGACAGTTGCTGTGAAGAAGTTAGAAAAGGCATTTAAGACCAGCAATGGTTACACAATTTGCCAATCTATTTTGAGCTTGCGAAGCTGTAATCTATTTTTCTAGCCATGACATTCATCAAATAGGTCACATCTTCAAATCAGAAAGAATCATCATCATTCCTAATGGGTTATAGTTAACTGGTCTGCATCTCTGCACTTCAAGGGGCCCATGACCCTCCCTTTCATTTGCAAGTTTGGATAGACTGTTGGACACAGTTGGATAAAACTCATTAAGTTACGGTTAAGCAAGTTAATAAACAATTTGAGTGGGACAAAATACACGAGAAGTAATCTTGTCAATATGTACAAATGAGTCTCATGCAGAAGCCTGTGTATGCTGATTTTTCAGCTCAACAATTTTAACCAAATAAGTACTTCTTTGTTTTGCAGTAATAGCGTTTGAACATTTGAGTGAGCATATAGCTTTATTTTTCAATGAATACAGCTGCACCTCAGAACTGGTATAAAATCATATGTTCTACTGAAACTATAAATTTAGTCAACAAAACCTTCTATTATCAGGTGGACAGTGAAAAAAGGGACTAAATTATATTTTACATATTTTAGAAAACAGCTGCATTTTAATAAGTGCTCTTTCAGAGCCCCACAGAAATCATTGGAGCTGCTACCATCTATGGAACTCTGACCTCATTGCCAAGACCCTCACTTCTGCTTATGTTGTAACTAGCCAGGCCAGCGCAAATTTGAACTTTATCCACAAAATGCATCAAAATCTCTATTTGACGATGACTCATTGCAAACAACACCATCGTGGCCACCACTTTGCTGCTAACAGGTGCTCCCAAATTCTACTAGTCAGATGGCCAAACATCAAAATTGATCAATTTTAATCAAATAAAGCAAAGTTTTGTAGGTCTGAAATTAAAACACAGAGTACTGGAAAGAATCAACAGATTTGAGGAGAGGAGCTAATGGCTCAAGTCCAATAACTTCTTCAGGGTTGATCAATCAAAATGGCACTAAGCAAACAATGATTCGTGGTGAATTAGCAGCCCATTTTAAACCTCACCTGATTTTCAGTACAGTCAGCAAGTCAAATGAAAAGGACTTTGGGCAAGGTATCAAATGAGCTGTTGATTAATTTGTATCATCTGTTCTTTGCCTAAAGGTAAAAGGTAGTTTGTTCCTAATGAGGTGGATCAATCAATCAAGGCAAATCTGAGAATTCTTCAAAGGTAATGATAGAACCAGAGGCAGTGAATGTATTTCAGATCTCCAGCGGTGTTCCTTTCAATGACTTAGAGAATATACTGTTTACATTGACAGATGTGATCGTTCATTTAGTTAGAAAAAGCATGACAGGGAGTTTGACATTTACAATGGAAGTTTCAATTTGCATGCAAGTATATCCTGAGCTGTATGTACAAACTTTGAAGGTGGAGGGGGGCATTTAACACTAAAATACTTGTGGGTCAAGGAAAGCTTAAAATTTTGAAAATTCTCAAACTTGACTTTTCCCAAATATGAGGCAGGCAAATAACTCAGTCATAAGGAGTGCCAGGCTCAAAAAGAAGTTGTGTGCCTCAATTTTAACACTGCTTTTGATTTTAATTCATAACCTTGGCTGAGACAGGGACCTTTAAAGATCTATTCGAAATCCCAATTATCAAATGAAAGAATTGCAACGCAGGATTTCAGATTTAAAACTTCTCCTGGACATTAGTTAAATAAAGCATCGCTTCTTATTTAACATTTTCCTTAAGCCTAAAAATCTCATCCATTACTTCTTCTACCTCCGCATAAGAATTCTCCTATATTTTACAGGACCTTGAGGGTTCCATTATTTCTCCTGGGACCAAATCAAGGCATGCCACACTTTAAGTTTGATTTTCCTCAACGTTCTCACTACTCTCTGAGATACAAATTTTTGGGAGGTATTTCCACTAGCATCCAGCTAGGCAGATCTTTCAATTCTCCTTAAACACCTCATGATTACAGACTCCCCAAATCATATGTAGACTTCATTGCAATCTTGGTCCGTGACTGGACATCTGAAAACATGCTTGGTTTCTGAACAGCCCTCTGTTGTCATCCACAAATCTGATAGATTCTTTCTCTCTGTTTGTCTCAAAGCAATGTCCAGGCTTACCTCAACTGCCTTTCAGTGAGAAACCAAACAGATATAAACCACCAAACCAATAATACTTTCTTGCAATCTGTTGTGGTATACCTAGCACATCCCAGAGTAAAATGTAAACTAATTAACATAACCTTCAAAAACATCCTCTTGATTCTAGGAACCATCTCTAACAGAGGCAGATGTACTTTTACCAGTCTCACTTGGCTCCATCATGATGCTATGAAGACTGTCTAATGTTCTGAAGGGTTACTGGACATGAAACATTAAATCTGCTTTCTCTCCACAGATGTTGTGAGACCTGCTGAGATTTTCCAGCAATTTTGTTTTTGTTTCTGATTTCCAGCATCTGCAGTTCTGTTTTTCCTATATGGTTTCTTTTCTGTTTTAATACTTCTAACGCTACCCCCTTAAGTAAACATTGACTATCCTTTGAATTAGCTTCTTAAACCATTTATTTAGTGTTCAAAAAATGTCAAGCCCCAAACTAAAGGCAATATTCTTAAAACAAATAGATCATGAAATCACAGATTTGTAACAACATGTGGAGATCAAGATTTCAGGGTCTTTGGAATCCCACATGGACTGCTTTTTGGTCAGGAGAAATAGGAGTATTGCATCCAGATCCAACAAGCATGCCTTCACAGGATCAGACCACATAATCAGCACAAACACAGGTTCCATGATGTGTAATGTACTACTTATCTCCAAAAATTTTGTCCCTCCTCACCCTCAAGCTCTGCCACCCATTCAACTCTGCAGTGTGTCAACACAAGTGTGTCACACTTCCATCTCAACTATGTCCGAAAAATCTCACATCTGATCCTCAGCTGATAACATACCTGTCGCTTGTACTGGCTGTGGGCTGGAAATGTACCTTTTAAAATAATATTTAAATAATATGATGTCATGGAACTTCGACTCCCAAGTTTCCGGCCTGAAAATTCTCTCATTTCAGGACCACATGTGTTAAGAGTCCCACTAGATGTCAGTACAACATTAAAGTGTTCATTGAGGTAGAAAAAAAGGCGGAATTTGAAAAGGTAAAAATGCCAATTGTGGTATTTTCCCAGATGACCACTCCAGGTACTTTATGAGATTGTCACCTCTTCCAATATGGATAAGGTTTACTTGTAGTAGTTCATTGCCACCATTCCTTCGTTTGTCTCTGCTTTGTCTTGGGCCTGTCTGGTGATTAAATGGTAGAGGATACCTCACTGTAAGCCCTCTCAGAATCTTTTATGTTCAAATATTTTTTTCTCATTCTCCTAAATTCCAATGAGTGCAAACTCGACAAACTCAACCCTTCCTTATAAGACTGTCCCTCCATACCCGGGATCAGCAAAGTGAATCTTCTCCAGACTGCCTACAATATTGTTATTTCTTTCCTTCAATAAAGGGACCAAACTGTTCACAGTCTTTTAGTAATGGTCAGACCAGTGTCTTGAATAGATTTAGCAAGAGTTCTCCACTCCCTTTGAAATAAAGACCAACATTCATTTTGCCTTCCCCATTAGCTATTGAACTAGGATGCTAGCTTTATTTGATTCATGCACTAGAATCCCCAAATCCCTTTGTGCTGCAGTTTTCTCCATTCTTTTTCTATTTGAATAACATTTGGCTCTTCTGTTCTTCCTGCCAAAGTGCATATCCTCCATTTTGTTGCATTATATTCCATCTAACAAACTTCTTGCCCACTCACTTAACCTTTCTCTGTCCCTCTGTAGTTATTTTGTGTCATACTCACTACTTGCCTTGCCAACTATGTTTGTTTCATTTGCCACAAAATTGGCGATGGTACATTCACTTCCAACATTCAAGTCACTGATGCTTATGGTAATTCACTAGTTACAGGCTGCCATCCTGAAAATACCTCCCTTTGTCTCACCACTCTGTGTTCTCTGAGATATGCAATCCTCCAGCTATGCTAACATGTTATCCTTTTTTACCTACACTACTTGTTACTTCCACAGCAAAGTATAATAAATTTGTCAGGCATGATTTC